CCTGGGGCCGGCATCGCAGGAAGGGCTCGTCCTCACCCGCTGTTGGTATCGGCAGTTGCATCGGGTTCCCCTGAGCTGTGGCAGAGGAGTTCGTCCCATCTCGGATGCTCGGCTCCGTGCCCACAGCCCCGATGGAGAGCTAACACTGGATGTTAATGAGCCTAACAATCATTTGTTCCCCAAAAAAGTCCATGCTGTAAGTGATGAACATTAGCGTCTTTACCTGCCCGTTAAGCCATCATTAGCGTTGCCTAGGAACTATCTCGGCTCTCTTTCCCAACGGCTTTCCTGGTAATCGATGCCCCCAGTAACCCCATTTTTCGGGGAGATGGACACCTCCGGCACCACAGAGCTGCCCCGGCCTGGGTCCGTCCTTAGGGTGGCTGTGCCAAGCCGGCTGTGCCAAGCCCCCGGCGTAGCCTGGGCTACATGAACGTAGCCTCGACGTTGTAGGCTCCCTATGGGTTTATGGGGTTAAAACCTTAAGTAGCGTGGGACCTTGGTCTGGCATCCGCAGATGCAGCCTGGATGAAAAGCCCCCCAAGTTAAAGACAACTTCTCCTTGCTGACAGCTTTGAGAGCTGTCAGGTGTTGGGTTTCTAACCCATGAGCAATGTTTTTTATGACTCATGCTGTCATGGCAGCGTTGGGCAGGACGCAGTGAAGCGCCCTGCCAAAGTCTTAGCCTATTTCATGATCCCCCTTAGCTTTGTCAGTCCAACTGTGACTCCCATCAGGGAATGAAACCAGTCTCCTTCGACTGGCCATAATTTCCACAAAGCCACATTGATTTAATGATCCTTTCAGTCTTTATTAATTGAGTCCCTTCAGGGGGTGACGGTTCCCCAGGCTGCCCTAACCCCCGGCAGACCCGAGGGGACCGTGACGTGTGGAGGCCCCCCGTCTTCCCCCCCCGCCCCCCTGTAATTAGCAGCAATGCTTTTGGCCCCGCACGCCACTATCGAGCGTCACTGGGCTGAGCTCACCAGTCCCCAGGCAACCGGATCCTTCGGTCCGGCGATTAATGTGTCTTTATTTATTGTAATGAAACATGAGAGGGAAGTGGCATGCGATGGCTGCGCCACCTGTGGCATGAGAAACGTCTCACCCGTGCGTTTTTGGGGGACCAATTTTGTGTGTGTCCCCTTTTCCTGAGGCCAAATGAGTGTTTTGGGGTTCTTCCCCCCCCCAAATAGATGTTTAATCCCTGTGGGTACCGCGACGTGAGCCTTTCCAGGGCCGTGCGACAGAGGCTAATGTAGCATACATCTTTTAATCCTTTTTTTAATCTAATTTTTCAGGGAGGTCAGCTAGCGCTTTATTTAACATGTAGCACTTGTTACAGGCCTGCCGCCTCATTCAGCGGCTCATTGGGTGCTGTCTGTGATGTGATGGAGTGCTCGGTGAAACCACATCATTTTGCGGAGTTGGGGGAAAAAAAAAAGCCCTCCACTTCTCGCCCGTCACGCGGTCCACGTCGCTTCCCAGGGGCCGGTGTCGGGCGATAAATCCATTTGGGATGTTGCAGGGTTATCAAGAGGGATGGGCACCGAACCCGCGCTGGAGGGGAACAGGAGGAGCACGGGGGAGAGCCGAACCCCCAAAATCCCCCAAAGGGCAGCCCCTGTGCTTCGGTTCTTGCTCGGGGTGCAACTGCGGACTTTGCTGGGGCCACTCCCAGGTCTCAGCAGGCGGCTCGTCTCAGCTCATGTAGTACCCTTCCCGGACAGGGGCACCGTGGCCCCAGATGACCAGGGCACGATTCGGGAAGCGTCATCACACTTACTATCCCATCTGCTTGTTTTCCCTGGCCCCAGGTCGAGGGCAGGCTGAGCGAAGCGTCTCGAGCCTGCGTTTTCCATTGCCCTTTTTGCCTTAACTTTTGCTTGTTCTTTAATTTTTAGAAGAGACAACTACCGCTCTGACACCCTGGAAAGGTCAGTAATTCGGGGCCCCTACAACACCAGTGCTCCCCCTGCTCCGTTTCCCCGTGGGCCCCTCCAGCTCCCGCCCCAAGTTGTCCCGGCAGGAGCTGCGGCACACGCCACCTCGACCTCCCGCCCCACCACCCCACCGCTCCCGCTGGTATAGCGATGAATTCTGGCT